CCCCCCCCTCTCCACCAACCCCCACCTCCTCTCCAGCATTCAGCTCTGGGCCTATGGGTGCTTTGTCAGTGGCTCTGGACTTTTCCTCTTTGTGAAAGACAGGAAACAGCTGCCACTGCCTTAGCCTGTGGTCGGGAGGCAGCTTCCTGCCAGGAGCCTTTCAATCCATCATATGCATTTCCAGGACCTTCACTCTGTGTATCCATGGGAGAGAGTGAAGGACCTAGGGCTCCGGGCTGCAGACACCTCAGCCCTAAGCCTCTTCCCGGTTTGGGGATGCCTTGCTCTTAGGTGACTTTGCTCTTTGTTGTTGTTGTTGTTTTGGTTTTGGTTTGATTTTGTCTGAGTAAGAGTCTTATCCTATAGTCCTGGCTGGCTTGGAACGTGATAGACCAGGCTAGCTTTGAACTCACAGAGATCTGCCTGCCTCTGTTTCTCAAGTGCTAGGATTAAAGGCATGTGCCACCATGTCTGATTGGTGCCCCAGCCTTTTATAGAAGTAAAATAAAATAATATACAAGTAAAATTACCTTATCGGAAAGTGGCAGCTGTAAAAATGGAAAGGACTCCATTTTCTAGGACTAGAAAGCCCGGAAGGCACCTTTCTGGCCGACCCACTTGGTCTGGAACTTCTATTGGCCTTCTGCAAACTGGACTTATCATGAGCCTCTCACGGGTGTGCCGAAGAAGAGCACCCTCTCCCAGCCACTGCAGCAGCTTCTCCCTCAGAGCTGCTGGCTTCCTAACTCCAGCGAGAGCAAATGCCGTGCTGTTAGGAGGAAGGCATCTATACGATCATCTGGGAAAAACCATTGGCCATTCTAGTGCTTCCCGGGGCCTACCTAAATGGAAGCACAGGGCCTCTACAATGCACACACACACACCAGGAAACACATGCACACACACGTACGTACACACACACTCACACTCACACACACACACACACACACACATATACACGTGCACACACACACATACACACATGTGCACACACATAATAACAATGAGAAAACTAAACAGATGGACTACCCCTCAGTGGTGGAACAGTACACATGCTCCAAGTTCTTCAAGACAGCTCCATGGTTTCAGACAAATGCTCAGTTCCCAGCACACACCATAAAGACAAATGGGCCTCAGCTCCTGCACCCATGTCAGGGTTAAGTGAGCAGCATTTGCAAAGGGGCTGTAAGGTTCCTGACTCTGGAAACAACACATTTCAGCTTCTGTCCTTCTTCACTACATGCTTCTATCATATGAATCAAAACTGGGGTTCAGGTGACACCTAGAAGCCAACTGTCAGTTTGCTGATTCAGTGTAAGAAAAAACTCTACAGAAAAATTGAAGTCGCAGAAATTATCATCTGACTACATGTACACCCAAGGAAGATACGCAGTGACCAATGTGCACATGAAAAGATAGCCAGTGTCCTGGGGAAGTGGGAATCAATTCCACAGTGAGATACCCTTCACATTCACCCTGCTGGCTGGAATGGCAGATGGCAGCGTTTGCTTGCTAGGTGTGCGGAGAAACTAGGAGGCATAGTGGTGATCCACTTGCCTTGAAAACACTTTTGTGGGGCTGGAGAGATGGTTCAGAGGTTAAGAGCACTAGCTGTTCTTCCTGAGGTCCTGAGTTCAATTCCCAGCAACAACATGGTGGCTCACAACCATCTGTAATTTGATCTGGTGCCCTCTTCTGGTGTGTAGGCAGAATACTATATACATAATAAATAAACAAATCTTTAATTAAAAAAAAGAAAGAAAATAGTTTGCTGGTTCCTCTAAAAATTAGACAGCAATTCACACCTAAGGAGAGAAGAGAACTGGAACTGCAAATCAACATGAAACTATACACACACCTGTGTCTGGAATAGCATTATTAACAATAACCAAATGTCCATAAACTGATGAGTGAGTAAACAAAATGAGCTATATCTGCACAATGGAATATTATTCTGCCATAAAAAAACATGAGGCCTGGCATTGCTACATCATTGCTGGAGCTTAAGGACATCGGTGAAAGAGCCAGATGCAGAGTGGCCTGTGTATGAAATGCCCAGACAGGCAAATCCTAGTGGCAAAAAGACCAGTGGCTATTGGAAACTGGGAAGGGACAATTGGGGGAAAATAGTTATGGAATATGGTTGGGGAGAGTTAGTGATTAAAATGTTCCCAAATTATACTGTACATATATTAATATCTCCAAACCTCTAAAATATTCACTTTAAAAGGTGGGTTTTAGATGTAGAATTACTGTATTTCAGTCAAGTCATAATGAAAAAAAAAGACATGAGCAGCGGGTAGAAGGCAGTAGGATCTGGACTTCAAGGTTAACCTCAACTACATAGAAGTTCAAGGGCAGCCTGGGCTACATGAGACCTTGTCTCAACAAACAAACAAAAAGCCAGACACAACAATGAAAGATTATCTAGTACATTCTAAATAAAAGACTGTCAATTGAAGTTCTCTGTCCACTGTGCATTCTAAAGAATTGGCATGTTTTTCTGTTCCTGCCTAAAGAAGATGACTGTGGTGGCATTTTTGGTCCCACAGGAGCTGAAACTGATGCCCAGCAAGGACACCGCTTCATCTGGATGCCCAACCTGAAGGGATGAAGGTTCAGACTGCAAACACCCTAAGAAGCCCAGGGCCCAGGAGCTCTGAGGTGGCCTTCCTGTGCTCTCCCTGGGGTCATGCTGGCTTCCGTGTGCCTCCAGGGACAGCCGTAAGGGCTGTGACACAGCACTCATGACGTTCGCCAGATGACACAGCACAGCTATTTATTGCATTTCTTGGACTGATAACCAAAAACAAAACATGCTGAGTAACTCTGAAAGTGACTGGATTTTGAATTAGACTGTCTTTTCTAGCTATAAATACTTTTTCTGAGTTACCATGAGTTTGGGTGGGTGGGTGTAATTCCCTTAAAAAACTCTGTGACTGTCATTTTACCAAATACGTAAATAAATCAAATTTGAGAACTTTCACCCAGATCCAGAATACATGACCCAAAAAATAAGGACCCGGCGAGGCTTGTGGAGCAGTTAAGGAGTGTCTAAGACTGCTCAACCTGCGTGTTTTCCATTTTCAAGTTAGATCACATTGAAACTATTCTATGACTAGTTTTTCTGCCTCAAGAAGTAACTAAAAAAATGGTGCACACTTTCACCTATTCACCCAGCAAAGCCCTGTGGGGGCGGGGCCTCAGAAGTGAGGAGGAAGCATAGCAACTCTTTCTGAGGAGACAATGTCTAATTAGCTAATTATTCTATGAGTGTGTGTGTGTGTGTGTGTGTGTGTGTGTGTGTGTGTGTGTGTGCAAGCTCATTTCTTTTCTTTATGCCCAAACCCTTTAACGTATACTTAGACATCAGTAGCAAGTCTAATGCTTGCTCCCCAGACTAGAAAGAACCTTCAATACAGAACCTCAGGGCCTTCGGTACACCGCACAAACACCACCCTTAAATCACGGAGCTTGGGGTCAGGCAGGATGTGGTCTTCACCTCTTTGGCTGTGTTGCTGGACACTGTAAACTTCTCATCTGAGCCGCAAGTACCGCAGGAGTCTGCCTCAGGTGACACACACGTGGCCTGTACACTCGGTAGCCATGACCCAAGCTCCTCCTTAGCCGTCCAGATCGCTGTCAGGTGTGACCGAAAGGTGACCTCTCAGCAGCTTACAGGCGTCACCTTTGCACCTGCTCCCTAAGGTGGCACCTGCCTGTGTCCTCCCTGCTGCCTCCGCATCCTGGGGAACAGGAGGTTCCCAGGAGCACTTGGTGGCACTGTCTGCTCTCAGTGCAGTCTGTCACCAAACTAGAAGAGTTACCATTTGATCACATGAAGATTATTCCTGTTCTCCTCCCGCCACTCCCAAGAGCAAGTGGTGGATAAGAACCGCCAAATCATTCCAGGGAGCCAAGGCTGAGGCGAAGCCTTCCCATCACAGGAGGACTTCTGCTCTTTGCCCCTTTGAACTTTTTTTTTATATAATGAAGGATTTTATTATTTTTCCTTGCCCACCACTTTGATCACTGCCTTATCAGTCAGCATTCCTCAAAGAATTATACAAGGTTGGCCTCTGTCTACAGCAGGACAAGGTCACCATAAAAACAATTTTCTCACTTTAGGCTATGCAGTACACTCAGCCCCTTTGGCTGCCAGGCAGGGTCCTAAATGCGAGGAGACCTTCTGGGGGTTTGATTGGCTCGGCTGAGTGAAGAACCCAGGCCTCCCGGTGCTAAGGCTGTGTGCCTTCTTCCCCTTCCAGACACGGCTGGCATGTCCAGAGGTTGGACTCGCTCAGAAGAGAAGCAGACACCTATGAACTGAAGTCCCGTCATGCTGAGAGGCTACTGCAAAACAAACAAAAAAAAGTCTGGAAAGTACATGAAACAGCTGGGCAGAGCCTAATGCTCAAGATGGCCAGCACATCTGGCCCGCCTCACACAGGCTTGGCATCTCAGGAGGCATCTTTCTGCCCAGTGATGCTGTCTCTTGGTTTCTAGGGAGCAAGATGCTTCTTATAACAGTTTGTCTATTTTCTCCATTGTATCTAGAAAAAAACATGGTAGACACGTGAAAAACACTTCTGTAAGAGCCAAATTATTTTCCAGGAACCCAACAAGTAGAAGACCACCACTAACACGGACACTTAGAAGAGAATTACAGAGGAGGAACTAGTAGCACTTCAGCAAGACTGGCGGAATACGCCATTAAAGTCCGTCTTGATTCTCAGATCTGTGACCTGGGCTTCGAAACCGCTTTTTCTCGTCTGTGGCCCTAACCGAGTTTCTGTCTGAGGACAAAAACAATGGTGGTAAAACCAGTGGCAACATGCGACGAAGATCTGAGAGCCCACAGAGACCTTCCAACCATCACGGGCCATTACCGCTGTTCTTGGCTGCCCCTCAGAACTTGATGGTAACGCCCTGTTGCTGAAGACACCAGGTACGTCGGTCGCATGACGTGTAGAAATCTAGTTAGAACTGAGTTGGGAGCTTCCTCCCCGCTGGTTAGCTTTCATAGAGCTAGGAGGTGCCATGCAGGCTGTTGGGGGAGAGAAGCCATCAGCAATCTTACCCCGTTATAAAGCTTGTGAGCCACAGTTAGGATCTGCCAGGCAAGGGTGGCATGACTGTTACAGGGGCAGCCAACTGCTTTCTGATGGGACTGAGTATGCCTCACAGGACAGAACTTGCTCCAGGTGCTATAAACCTTATCAAGAGCCTGGGGTCAGGGAGGCCACAGGCCCTAGTAGGGACCCACTACAGCTGTTTTGTTAAATGGCCATGTTGTCAAACTGCCTCCGACGTACGTTTATATCTACAGATCTGTGCTACCCTTGTCCTTGTTCAGAGAAGTGTCTTACTGCAATGGGCAGCAACGGAAACAGAATCCTAATTGACCGAAGTGCGGAGAATGAATGATGGTGGCGTGCGTCTCCCTAAACAGAACATGTACATCGGTTACTCCTAGGTTCAGGGAGCATCATAGGAGGGGAAAAGATAATGTGAGAGCCAGAGGATGGGAGATATGTGGCAAAAAGACATTTTGGGCCATGACAGAACTGCATTCATGAACTCACTACAGCTGTGGTTATCTACACGAGACCTGCATGAGACCAGGCCAGGCAGCATTTAATCGTGGATAGGAAAGGGGCCTCTGGGGCCCCAGCCTTCCCTGAAGGACTGTTGGGAATTTATGGCTGCCGGGAGTGTTGTTTTCTTTCGTGGAGTAGCTCCAGTGAGTAACTTCCGTATGTGCTCATGAAAGTGGCTCTAACTCAACAAAGTGGTTCAACACGCAAAGACAAGACATGAAAGGGGGCTGGAGGGATGCTCAGTGGTTAAGAGCACAGTCTGTTCTTCCAGAGGACCTGGGTCCTATTCCCCGCACCCACATAGGAGCTCACAACCCTCTATATCTCCAGTTCCAGGGCCTCAACAGCCTCTTGTGGCTTCCATGGGCACTCTGTATGTGGTTCAAGATATGCATGCAGCAAAACACTAACATACACAAAACAAAAATAAAATAAATCTTTAAAAAAGAGGAAAGTAGAAAGACATGTTAGGAAAGAGGATTTCAGTAGGAGAGAAAGAGGGATAAGAGAATAATGGGAGTATAAAACCCCTCAAATATATATATATATATATATATATACATATATATATATACATATATATATGTCAAAAAATAAAAATTGTCAAAGAGTAAAAAATGTCAAAAATTTAAAAAAAATATATCCAATCACCAAGTGCATCATTTGCTGAGTTAGGGGCCCTTGGCAGCATTAGATATAGGCTTTTGTGAGAGTCTTCAAACTATAAAATAACTTGAGATAACCTTAGATTTCCCATGGAGCTTCACGGGATCACAGTCAGGAAGCAATATAGTAAGATCGTCACCCAGTCTTCATGCAAAGTCCTGTCTTCATATCACAGCTCAAACCTGATGGAGTGTGGTGGGGTGCAAGCTAATGCCACGCTGTTCGCTCTGCTTTGAGTCTCCATCTGCATGTCTGCATGGTAACTCACACCGCTGGCACGATGTACGCTTTCTGTGCAGTCAAGAACAGAACGCCCCCGTCACACAGGCTGCCTGCAGTCCTGGTAACGGTCACTGGTGCTTATCTCCAGGACCCTGTGGCCTTTGACTAGACTGATTCCATCTTTGCTCAGAGGTCTAGTCGCCTCCTTTTCCCGCAGAGTGGACTAGCCCGCCCACTCTGCCTTCTGTGCTGTCACACTTCAGTCTACAGGGAAGGGGGCTCCCTCCTGTGCAGCCGCCATCCACAACCTGCCAGGAAGAGAGAGCAAGCACATGCCAAACCTCGCTCAGGACAGCCCTTCAGACCTTCAGTATGTCTCTGTTCTCACCTGCCTCTCTGTGTCTGCTGCTCCTCTCTCCCTCTCTGCCATTTGACAAAGACTCCCTCCCGATGCCCGGGGTAGTTCTGCTTCTGCCCCCAGCTTACATCTCAAACTTAACAAAACCAAAGGCTAATGGTAAACCGGTCCCTCGCCCTAATTAGCAGTTCAGCCACCGTGTTTCCTGGAGTTGCTAATAAAGTATTTGCTAGCAAAATATAACAAATATCTGAGGTGGCAATAGTGGGGGTTGGGCGGGAGTCCATTGTCAATAAATCGGTTTTTATCCATACTACAACTCAATCACTTGGTGTATGCCAAATTTTCCAGGCTTTGACTCCAAATACAGGTGTTTATGGCATGCATTGGGTGTGTTTGTATGTGTGATTTAGGTGTGGTGTATGTATGTCATGCATGTGTTCTGTGGGGCATTTATGTGTTGTGTGTATTGTTCACGTGTGGTATGTGTGTTGTGTGGTTTATGTACCATGTGGTATGTGTAGTGTGGTGTGTGCAGTACAGAAATGTGTGGTGTATGCGTCAATGGGACTGGTGTGTGTCTGGCGTGATATGTATGCTTAGTGAGTATGTGGTATGTAATGTATGTGGTGTGGGGATATGGTGTGTGTCAGAAGATGTTGTGTGTTGTCTGTAGTATGGTGTGGCATATATGTGGTACAGGCTATGGTCTATGTGATAGGAAAAGTATGTTGTGTATTGTAGCTAGAGTTTTCCTGCCTTGTCCACAGTCAGGACAAATCTTTGTCACCCGCCAGTCCCACAGCCGCTCAGACCCAACCAAATAAACACAGAGACTTATATTGCTTACAAACTGTATGGCCGTGGCAGGCTTCTTGCTAACTGTTCTTATATCTTAAATTAACCCATTTCTATAAATCTATACCTTGCCACGTGGCTGGTGGCTTACTGGCTTCTTAACATGTTGCTTGTCCTGGCGGTGGCTGCAGTGTCTCTCTGCCTCAGCCTTCCGCTTCCCAGAATTCTCCTCTCTCCTTGTCCCACCTACTTCCTGCCTGGCCACTGGCCAATCAGTGTTATTTATTGACCAATCAAAGCAATTTGACATACAGACCATCCCACAGCAGTGTATGGTATATGTGTCAGTGTATATGAAATGTATTTGTGGTAAGGTGCAGTGTGTGGAGTGTGGTGTATGTGGAGGTGCACATAGTGTAGGTAAAAATAGTGTATACGGAGTATGGTGTGGGGAGGCATGGTGTGTGTGGTATGTGCAGTGAGCATGTGCAGCATGAAGTCTGTCATGTGTGGCATATGTGATGTGAAAATTTTTAAGGTGGTCCATATGTTATATGTGGAGTGTGTGAGGTGTGGTTTTTGTGGCATGTGCAGTGTGAAGAGTATGATGTCTTTGTATGTGGCATGCATGGATTTAAGGGTACAGTTTATGTCTGAGTACACCTCAGTGATTTTAAGTGTTTTCTAATAGAACCCAGGACCACCAGCCCACGGACAGCACCACCCACCATGGGCTGGACCCTCCCACATCCATCACCCACATCCATCACTAATTAAGAAGATGCCCTACAGGCTTGTGCACAGCCCCATCTAATGGAGGCCTTTTCTTATTGAGCTTCCCTCCTCCCAGATGACTCGGGCTTGTGTCAAGCTGACATAAAACCGCCCAGCACAATTGACCCTTTGTCACCCTGACAAAGGCAAACACGTCACTGCTAAGCCACAAGCTTTCCCTTTTCATTCGTCCCCAAGACCTCACACTAAAAACACAAATGCCTTTAAAAGTCCCGCCGTCTTCACAATTTCAGACACATTCGAGTTCAGTCTCACTGGGCCGTCTCATCCAGCCTCGCTGTGATAGGGTGTGCCTGGTCTTGTTGTGACATGTTATACTGTGTTCATTTGACGTCCTGGGAGATCTGCTCTTTTCTGAGGGTAAGCAGAGGGGGTGTGGATCTGAGGAAGAGGGGAGGTGTGGGGGAAGTACTGGCGGGAGGGGAGGAAGGGGAAACTGGAGTCGGGATGTAATATAGGAAAGAATTAAAAAAAAAAAAAAAAGTTCAGTCCCTTTAAAATATCCAGTCTCTTTTAAAATCCAAAATCTCCTTTAAAAGTTAAAAGTCTTTTGACTATGGACTCCTGTAAAAATCAAAATTAAGTTAAATACTTTCTTACTTCAAGAGGGAAGAACCAGGGCACAGTCACAATCAGATCAAAGCAAAACCAAACTCCCAACAGTGTGAATAATGCAATGTGCAATGTCTGGGATTCACTCACGATCTTCTGGGCTCCTCCAAAGGGCTTGGGTCACTTCTCCGTCTCTGCCCTCTGCAGCACACACAGCTTGTTTTCTAGGCTTCAATGGGCTCCACTTCACGGCTGCTACTGTCCTTGGTGGTCACCCCATGGTCCTGGCATCTCTAAAATGCTGAAATCTTCTGCTGCAACTGGGCTGTACTTTCACCAATAGCCTCTCCTGGGCTCTCTTCCGGGACACCAATCCTGTCACACAGTGCCAAGCCTCAGCTGCTCTCCATGATCTCTTCACACCTTCAAAACCAGGACCACCTGGGTGACTCTTACACTACCAAGTTCAGCTGCCAGCGCAAGGTACAACCTTGGCCATATCTGGAACACGACTTCTGTGTGCTGACTCTCAGGAAATAGTCCAGAAGATTTCACTTCAGTGATGCTGGTCTCTTCTTAGTCACTGCTAATTTCTTAGCTCGAGCTAATCACCATCTAGTATCCCAGCAAAGCAAAGGTTTCACTTGAGTAGTTCTGGTGTCTTGTTAACCACAGCTGATTCTTTAGCCCCAGCTGACCAGAACCATAGGATCTTAATTCAAAATAACCAATGGCCCCAAAGTGTCTTTAAACTTCCCTCTGAAGCTTCACAAGCCAGGCCCTCACTGTCTGCATTGCCCTCAACATCCTTGTCTTCCAAGGTCCCACACAACAGCTCACCGAGATCTCAACACTCATGGCTTTTCTAGTCGAAAGTTCCAAACTCTTTCCACAATCCTCCCCAAACACACGATCAGGTCTCTCACAGCAGTAACCTACTCTCCTGGTACCAGTTTGTCCTAGGGTTACTACTGCTGTCGTGACCAAAGCAACTGGGGGAGGAAAGGGTTGATTCAGCTCACACTTCCATATCACTGTTTATCATCAAAGGAAGTCAGGACAGCAATTCAAAAAGGACAGGAACCTGGAGGCAGGAGCTGATGTAGAGGCTATGGAGGCGTGCTGCTTACTGACTTGTTCCCCTGGCTTGCTCAGCATGCTTTCTTATGAAACCCAGGACCACCAGCCCAGGGATGACCTCACCCACAATGGTCTAGGTTCTCCCCATCAATCACTAATCAAGAAAATGCTCTACAGGCTCACCTACAGCCCATTCTTATGAAGCATTTTCTTAATTGAGGTTCCCTCCTTTCCAGTGACTCTAGCTTGTGCCAAGTTAACATAAAATTATTCAGCAGGATTTGGATGTGTATAATCACTTTGTGTAATATAACACTTGTGAGGATGTCTCTTTGGGGAGTGGGGTGCATGATCAGTGTGTGTAGTACAGTATTTGGGGCTGTCTCTGTGTTGTATATGATCAATGTGTGTAGTGTGGTATCTATCGGAGATTTCAATGCTGTGTGTATGTGAGATCAGTGTGTAGTATGGTATCTGGGGGTGTCTATATGACATATGGATTTGTATGATCAGTGTGTGTAGTATGGTATCTAGGGAATGTCTATGCAGTATGTATGATCAGTGAGCAGTACTATATCTGTGTGTAAGTGGTTTGCCTCTGTGGTGTATGGCATGTATGACCAGTATATGTAGTGTTGTATTTGTGGTCAATGTCTATGTGCTGAGTGATGTGTATAGCCATAGTATGGTTGTTTGTGTGTATGAGTTGGGATGTGTGTGTGTGTGTGTGTGTGTGTGTGTGCATGCTATCAGTGCTAGTATAGTACCTGTGTGTGTGGAGGTCTCTGTGGTATGTGATGTGTATGATTAGTGTGTACAGTGTGATGCGTGACATTTGTGTGTGTGGCTCTTTGTGATGTATGTGATCAGTGGGTAGTACTGTATCTGTGTGAGGTGTATTTGTGATGTGGGTTATTGATGGGCAGGACCATATCTGTGGGGGTAGGGGTATTTGTGAGGTATGTAATCAGTGAGTTGTACCATATGTGGGGAGGGTTATTCTGTGATATGTGTGTGTGGTGTGGTATATATCATGTATCCCTGTGTGAAGGTCTTTGTGGTGTGTGTGATCAGCATGCATGGTGTGGTGTCGGGAGTGGGGGGGGGCAGGTATCTTTGTGAAGTTTGTGATCAGCATAGGGGCAAGGGTTATCTTTGTGTAAGACCAGTGTATGTCCTATAGTCTCTCTAAAGGGTTTGTTTTGTGATGTGTGTGATCAGTGTGCAGAATAGAATGCTGTCTGGGGGTTGTCTTTGTATGGGATTAATGGTGTGTGCGATCAGCATGTGTGGTATAATATCTTTGAAGGGGTATTTATCTATGATCACTGCATAATACTGTATCTGGGGGGCACACCTCTGTGGTCTGTGTAGTCTGGTATATGTGTATGGGAGTCTTTGTGATATGACCAGTATGTGTGCCGTGGTATCTGTGGGGGAGCGGGGAATACCTAAGTGGTGTGTGTGATAAGTGTGTATTGTAGTGTCTGTGGGGATATATATATATATATATATAGTGTATGTGATCAATAAGTGTGGTACGGTATTTACAAGGTGTACTATGTAGTATGTTTGATCAGGGGGTAGTCCTATATTTGGGGAGGGTCCCTGTGGTGTGTGTTATCAGTGTACGTATAGTATTTGTGGGAGTGTCTATGTTGTTAGCTGTTTCCATATATATTTTTGCCTTTTTTCAGTGACGCGCTGATGTCATTTTAGAAAATCATCTTTAGCACTGCTTTCCACCGGCTATAACATGTCTTGGCCTAAAACACCATCCACTTCCCAGAACCAATCCTTGGTTTTGCATCAGTGCAGGGAACCTCTCAGTGTGGTCCTAAGAACCTGGCCTTCAGGCTCTATGTCCCAGCCAGGTCTGGTTTCTTTCTGTCCCCAGAATGCACTGGGTTTTCTATCACTCCCTCTTTGGATGGACATAAATAACCCTTCCATTTTCCATTCTGTTATTCCTCTCTCACTACCACACACCCCATTATTTTATGTCTGTGCCCTGTGGCCCATGACCCAAAACCCTGAAAAGCTTCCATTTTCTTTTCTATTCTGGAGAGCTGTAGATTTTGTTGGTCACTACTCCTGGAGAGGAGTGGCACTCACAACTAAAAATTCCATAAGAATGGATGGATAAGTGCTTTCCTGAATTTGCCGTCAAAATCAGGACTAGTGACGACTGGCTGATAACAAAGCACACATCTGCTTACTTAGGTGGTAGTGTCACTCGGCTAATTTGATTTGTTCAGACAGGTAACCAGCTTTTTTAAAAATGCTTTTCTGAACTGGCTTTTGCACCAACACAGCCTCAGGGGTGACCAGACTGGTGGTCTTTGCCAATCTGCTGTGACAGATTCGTGTACACAGCACCCATCACCATCATGGCTTACTAGCATAAAAGGAGCCCTTTGTTGTCATTTGGCTTTGCTCTTTTTGGGGGGCCCAATACCCAGCTCCCAAATAAATAACACAGGGAGATGAATTCTTAATTATAAATGCCCGGTCTTAGCTTGGCTTGTTTCTTGCCAGCTTTCCTTAACTCTAAATTAGCCCCATCTGTTGCCTCTGGGC